CACTGACACAGTAAACCTTTTGTTTCTCATGGAATGGAGTCAACTATCCATGGATATCAACAGTGAAAGCTAACACCATTCATTTTACAAGCTTTTGTGGAGGGAAAAAAATTCATTTTCAAAATTTCAAACTTTCTTTTTCAGTATTTTGTCTTGTTTTCTAGTAAATGTATCTATAAATCCTTTAAAAAACATATTTAGTTAAGTAGTGAATAATATGATTGGCAGGATGAATAAGTGTTCAGACTTGATTTAGAGAATATTTATTTTTCTTACCACTTGTTTTAAGAATAAACCTCACTAGATTTTTTTTAAATATTTGGTAATGAGGTAAGAAAATGAATTTTTCAGATCCTCTCAAAACAATAATATTAATTTATATTTATTAATAAAATATTTGTATTATTGTGTGTGATAAACAAAAAATGCAAATTTGTTTATTGGAAAACAAAAAAAATATATTTTTAAAATTATTTTTGATGTGTAGAATGATCATATTAATAACTGGAAATTAACAGGTGAGCTTCAGCCCTTTTCTTTGAAAAATTGGAGGCTATTTTTAGTGGAGTATTTGATCTTTGACCTTTTTTAAACAAAATAGCACAATAATAGCTTTAATTATTGGGTAACCTACAACTGTGGAATCTCTACTGAAATGAGTTGTATAGGTCTAGGGATCATCAAAACCCTCTTCATCTCTTGGCAGACTTGATAATGTCATTATCATTCTACTTACAGTGGTGATAAAATGTCAAACATAACAATATATTTTCCCAGAAACGGTCGGCTATCATGGACATGGACGTACTAGGATAGAAACTGTGGTGGGCTGAAGCAGAGGTTCCTCTAATGATAATCATTATCTCTAGCACACAACTTTCTGCTTCATTTAAGCCATTCTTAACAGGGAGATCTATCATATCCACCAGCATGATGCTAGTTTGTGGCCTTCGTGATTTATTCAGATTACCATTTCACTTCTATGCACCCCAGTCATAAAGGCACCTTGAACCGTTTTAATTAAGAGCGTCTAATTTAGAAGTAAACCCATCATTAATGCAGCACGTTCATTACGGGATTCATTTATGTGCCTTGCAGCGCTGTCCTGAGAGCTATTCTGTAGTACAGATGCAAATAATACTCATAAACAAGCAGAGAGGCTCATGGGATAAAAAGAAAGAAATTTAAAAAAGACAAAAATCTGATGATTCAATATCCCCTCGCTCTTTTGGCTTTATCAGTTTTTAATAGGGTCAGCTAAATCAAACTTCAGAGGATTTGGTTTTAACTTGTTATTTGTGAAGTAAATCTGCTGTAAAAGGGCAAGCTGTTTAAGTTCACTGAAATTCTTGAATCTGCACACTTTGTGTTACCATCTGTACAGTGATTTTAAAATAATGCAAATTAATATCCATTCATCATTCATTTTTGCCCTTGTGACATCTTCACATTATATTGTATTTGTAGCCATATATTTAGCTACACATTTATTTCCTAATTTTTAAAATACTATATGGTATATTACTTCACTTATTTGCACACTTGAATTATCAACTTAAATTGATATTTTGATAGTACCAAGTTTTAGTAATAAAATAAAACATTTGCTTATTTGCATATCAATACATATTAAATGTCTGCCCTAATCTTATTAGTTCTGACCAATGACTAGACCGAGTAGTGCTCCTTTTTTCTAGAGTAATATTTTATTATGGTATCAACTTTAACTCAAGTACTTGATTTGTGTTCTCCGCCTACCTCTGATGATTACCATCCATTTGTTTGTATTTTTTTCTGTGTAAAAACATAATTCACTGCTTCAGTGCAATTTTTTTATTGTTTCCATAAAATTTCAAGTGCTTGTTTTAAATTTTAAGTGCTACACTTAAACATTCATGACCGTCCCAGATCACAGCGCCATCATAACTCATCGCCGTTCAGTCTGAAAGCTTGGAAACCCTCTTCCCGCTCTGAGACAACATTTATAATGTATTGGATCCCTAAATTCACAACTCACGATTCTAAAGGGGTTTTGTTCATATCCGCATGGATTGTGTAATTATTCTTCCATGATTACACGGTCTCATTAGCCTGCTGACCCTCCGGAGTGTTGACGGAAATCATCGCCTTCAAGAGTCCTCCTGCACAATCAGTGTTTACCAGATATCAGTAACACAGGCAGAAAACTCTTAAGTCTGTTCTTTACGGAATAACACTTGAGACAAAAGTGGTCTGAGACTCATGTAAAGAAAGGTCATAAGGATGATTAATGCCACTAAACTAGGGAATACAGAAAGAAAACGGATACCGATCTAATGTTTAGTCTTAGAACGATTTCAAAAATATATGTAAAGCCGGGCGCAGCTCGCATGGTCACAGCTAGTTAGAGGAATTACAGGCCGAGTCCAATACTTTACGAGCACCTCCTGACAATTTTTAAACATGCTTAGAGTATAGGTTGTTCCCCATTGCCAAATTATAAAAAAAAAACATGTCACATAGGCTAAATCTATGACTATTATTATAGCCCAGTGGCTGCAACATACAGTGCATTCACTCTCACACACTCAAATTGTTTTTGTTGAAAGGCATTGCTGTGCTGTTCTTTACTTTTCACCAAATCATTTGCACACTTGTCTTTTTTTTTTTTTTTCTATCCGAAGCTAGAAGCAACATTGAAAGCTTAGCACAAAAGCTCATGCTATTGCCTGCCGGCTCTTGGTGCAGTACAGTCATGCCGTGGCTTCGATGTGATTATCAGGTTAACTTACTTGTAACGTGTAAAATGGCTCAAACCTCCCAAGTGTCCGAACTCGCTCAGTGTACGCCCGCCTTAAGAGATAATCTACTGTCAGCCAGTCATTGGCTGTGTCCGAAATCTCCCACTACTCACTATATAGTAAGCTCGCCATTTTGTAGTGCCGTCCGAATGTATAGTGATGATTATTATACCTATTATACCATATATAGTCCACTCAATGTATCCCAGAATGCATTTTGAAAAGAAGTGTACAACCAATGGTCACTAACCCATGCCCTACATACCATCATGCATTGCGCCGATCGTAAAAATGGCGGACGGCATTTGACAGCAATGATGTAATCAACGGCGCCAAGAGACGATCGAGTAGTGTCAGAAAGTGGTGTTTCTATTATACTGGTGAGCTCACTACATAGGGGGTAGGGAGTAGTGTTTTAAGTGGAGATTTTGGACACCACCATTGTCACAAGAAAATAAAAGCCTGAAAAGGTTTATTTTGAGACAATTACCAGCTCATTATTTGCGATGATCTTGGGCAATTGATGAGTCAGAAAAAAAGATGAATACCAGTTGCGTTTGTAAGGGGAAAAAAAGAGTCTGTTTGGACAACAGTGTAGACCAATCGTTTTCAAAAGCATTATAAGCAAAATATTTGTATATTTTTTGTTCAATTTTAGTTAAGAGATTATACTCCAAATAAATAAAAATCAGCCTGTAATACGAATGATATCACTGTTTTCACAAATGCGCGTTTTGTAGTTTACAAAGAGACAATTATGGTATCTTCTTCAAAAACTTGCACTTTGAAACCCGCATAAGAAGTTTTCTGATTTTAGTTGAAAATGATGTTGTGTAAACGGCACCTAAATAGAGGCAGATCTAAATTTGTAGTCAGTTGTGGAAGAGATTTAGTCCCACCGAGACACACGTCATGAAGAGAACAGACATCATTTGGAGGGGGAGGTTATCGTTTTTGATTAATTACAAAGCACATAAATAAAACATTTAAAAAAAGATTTGCAGTGATAAATCATTTATAGACCCCTTTTGCGCCGACGTCACAGTTAAGTCACGGTGCTAGCTGGAGGCAAAATAAAGTTAAAAACTGGAGGCGGTCAATGCAAAACAGCACAGATTCGGCTACATAATAAGGAGCTTAAATAATTGTTACTATTATTAAATGTCATCTTGTTGTGTTGTTTGGTGCAAGAATTGATGAAAAATGAATATGCTGTACCTGGAACTTTTATTTCTAGAAAATATTCACATCATTAAAATTGCACTGTAATGTCACTCTTTACATTGTCGTGGTCTCGCGCTGACTCGGCAGAACTGCGGATCGTACACACAAGTCTTGTACATGACCATATAGGCAACTAAAGATTTATATGCCTCAGTTTCTCTTTACGATTGGTTTCTCGATAAGGTAGGTGTAGAAGTCAGGCCACTCAACCGAGGTAACGTACGTTAATCCTGTCAGATCATCCATGCATTGAGTGACCGTGTAGGCGGCTACAGGTCGGCCAATCTGGTTCTGTCCGTTAAAAATAACTTTTGGAAATAACAATCGCGGTCCTGGACACTGAGTGACCTTACACATTAAGATAATATCGGATTTTCTCCAGTCATTGTTAAACAAGCTAACAATCCTTGCTAACTAGCGTTAGTGAAGCGGCCAGATGGATCTTTCTGCCTCCACCTAAGCTCCGCCCACAAAAAAACGTCACCGTGTTTACCAACTGTAAAAGGGTCTATAATAAACACTGCAACATACTGTGAAAAAAAGAAGAAATGGTCCATTTTGATTTCATGGTGACATTAATACCCAAATACTCAATCACATTTTTGTACTTATACTTAATGTACTTATAGACAATTAACATGTTTTCTTACCCTGACAGATTCGAAAAAATATTGGGCAACAACCAACTCTGTGGACTGGTATAAATGTTATGGATACCCGAGATGAATTGCAAACCTAAATAGCAAAATGTTTGTTGGGAAGAAAATTGATGATGCTATACTCTCTAATCTTTAAAAAAAAAAAAAACTGTTGGAATTGGAAAATACAGAAATGCTGCAGATGATCCTGGATTTGGCAGCTTCTGACAGTTTTCCCATCCAGTCTGTCATGTTTTGGTTTCTCGTGTCTAGCGTCCTCCTGTCTTGAGTGTGATGCAGTATGCATATTTTACCTGAGCTGTATCTAAACCCAACACAAATGATCCTCAGAGAATGAAACGGTTATGCAGGGCTCCTCTTTATTAATTGCATAAAAGGCACAGTTAACCCATCTAATGGAAGCGTTTCACCACACCCTCAGATTGTTCTCTAAAAGCCTTGAGACTTAAGCCAGTTGAAAAGCAGTTTGTTAATGAGTTAATCACTTAATGGCATGTTTGAATTGAAACGGCCAAAAAGGAGCTTGCACATTTGTGCAAGGTCTGTTCTGTCAATAAGATGCCATTTGTTTGTGTACTATAGGGTGAATTCAGGTTGATTGGGACAATTTTTGCAATTGAGATGACTGGGAAAAGTGTCCCAGTCAAATTGACTTGTGTGTTCTTTCTTAGCTCCAGATGTCCTGTAGATATCGCTTCTCTTCACGAAGTCCTGCTACTATCTTCATAGCATCCAGTTTATCGAGTTGAAGTTCATTTCCTATGATCTCCAGTAGTGTGTCATTCACATCTTTTGCCATGTTCTTAGCATCCCTATAAAATCATGAGATATTGTTTCATTGCTGGTGAACAAAATGTGGCAGTCCACAATAATAAATGGTCAACCATGGTATTTTGTACTCACCCACAGACATAAAGGCAGCCTTTGTCTTTAAGAAGGATCCTGGCAACATTTTTAGCATGGAGAAGCAAGTTATGTTGGACATATGTTGGTCTGTTAATGGTTCCCGCTGCATCAGGCTCATCTCTGGAGAAGCACACGATCAGATGGCTGAGCGTTCCATTATGCGCAAATCTCTCCAATTCCTCTCTGGGGAAAAAAAGCAGTAATGTGCATTTTACCGTGTTTCACTGTTATTTAGTCAGTGGTTGTTTTTGCGGTGGTTAAGCTAAATTTGTGCATTCAAATATACAAATGGCAAATTAGATTCTCAGATTTTGCAGGGGTTAAGTAACAACTATGGAGCTCATTAGTGCGTTGCATTTGAAACTCAACTTTTCCTCTTCTTCATACATCTGGCAAGAAAGTTTATAAAACCTCAAGGCTTCTGTTGTAAATCGTTATTGTAACAGCTTTTATTTCAGCTCTGAATAAATGTTTGGGTGCTATTTCAACCAAAATGAGAGATAGAAGAATGTGAAGTTAACGGACAGGGTCAAGCTCAAGGTTTGAAGCGCTTTTCCAGTTGGTTGCTCTTCTTGTCTGTTACCTCGAATGTTCAATTGCTAAAGCCAGGCACTTTGATTTTTATATTTGCCTTAAAAGAACAGTTCATTCCAAAAATTAATAGTGTGTCATTCACTCGTTCTACACAACAACACGCATTAGCAAGTCTTATTAATTTATCAAGTCATAACCACTGTGACCAGATCATCGAGTCAGCCAGTTGAACTTGGGGGAGAAATTTGAGGGTGAACTATAGCAAAAAAGAGTTGTTGCACAACTTTTCAGTTATCCGATATAGATTTCCCGGAGTTAGACGACAAGCAATGAAAGGGTTGAAGAGCATAAACAGCTGTTCTCTACCAGGCAAACTAAAACTCTGGTGCTTTCAGTTTGGTCTATTGCCGAGGTTGCTGTGGCCACTGACTGTGTACGAGGTTTCATTGATAACAATGGATATGCTGGGAGCATTACATCAGACGTTACATCGTAAGTTCATACATCAGGAAATGGTTGAGAGTTCTACATTGCCTCAGCAGAGTGGGACTTTATAGTAAAGGAATATTGCAGCTGCCAGTCTCTGCTTTAACCGAGGAGTTTAAGTGCGCCAAGGTCAGGCTGGAAATGACCTCAGTAAAGTCAAGCAACAAATGTGTAAGGGAGGTAGCCCGGTCGAAAGTGGTCAGCAAAGAAATCTGTGGTACAGGCAAAAGCTACCCTTCAAATTGGGGATATTGTGGGACAGGTACAGCAGGGAAGAGGGGGTTTTGGGCTCAGTTTAGCTCCTACTAAATGGCACAAGGCAGGCCCAGCTCAAAGGAGGAAGCTGGTAGTCAACCAGGTGCGAAAGCAGGAGGAGAGGATGAGGTGTATAAAGGCCATTTCCCAGACCAAGCATGGAGAGTGGATGAGATGGGAGAGTGTGGAACAATGCAACATGGGCTGGAAAGACCTTTGTTCAATGGAAGAGAGTAGGATCCTTAACAGGTCAACATATGATGTTCTCCCATCACCGCAGAACCTAAACCTCTGGGTAGGAGAGGATCCCTCCTGTCCTTTGTGTTCATCACCTGCCACATTAAGGCACATTTTGACAGGATGTAATGTGGCTCTTAGCCAAGGTCAGCTTACTTGGCGCCATGACCAAGTAATGCAATGTTTTGCTTTAGCATTGGAATGCAAGCGTAGCATGACCTGTTCTAGCAAAACATTACACACACAAGAGAATATTCCTCCGCCCAGTCAAGCAACCACCAGGAAAAGGTGTTAACACCAATTCTCGCCCAGGACAACTGGAAGCTGCTAGGGACTGGAAGATGCTGGCTGATCTTGATCAACAGCTTATTTTTCCACCTGAGATTGCCACCACTAACCTACGACCAGATATTGTTTTGTGGTCTGGATCAGCACGCATTGTTCAGCTGATAGTTAACAGTGCCATGGGAGGACGCGGTAGATGAGGCATATGAGAGGAAGAAACTACGTGAAGAAGAAAATACGTCTCAGTTTGTGCTTATCTTGGCGAAAGCCGAGTACAAATCAGCATGAAGCTTTAACATCTACTCTCGTGTAATGGAAATCAAATCCACCAAAGCTAAAGAGAAAAGGAGGATGATTGAGTGAAATTTAAACAGTTGGATAAACAAATGTTTGCACACATCTGAAAAATAGCCATGTTTAAATGGATCACAAAAACCCGAGTATTGGCACGTAATCTAAATATCACCACTTAAACAGAGTTTCCAAAGATCTGAATGCAAAAGAACGTTCTTTTAAAGAAAACATCTTTTTTAAAAGCTTCTAAAGAAAATCGTGACTTCAGTGACTTGGAAAAGTAATAGCACATTCCACATTGCGTTAATTTGTTTGGTTTAATATTTTTGTTAAAACCGTAATACACACAATACTTTATCAGGATTCTTTGATGAATAGAAAGTTCAAATGAACATTTTTTTTTTAATAGAAATCCTTGTATACATTTTTATATATTCTGTCAGAAAACCGCACAAACTATATGATTACTGCAGGTTAACAAAGCAAAGCCAAGAATTCACCATCTAAATTATGAAACTACTTATTAACAATCAGGTATTTTATTGTACATGCTTCATGGCTTTGTTTTAAGGTTTTTGAGTGCATATGCATTGCTTACGGGGTCCATTTGGGAGCCACATCTATCTAAACTGGTCCAGGCAAGCTGACTGACTTGTCACAGATATTGAATGTTTTTATTGTTTTAAAAAAAAAAAAAAAAAGACTTGAGATCATTTGTCCTGAATCTACGCCTCCCGCTAACTCTCCTCATGTAATCCAAATCCATAAAAACAAAGATTGGTGATGAAGGGGCTAAGACAAGTGTTCTTTGTTTAAACAACAATGATTAAAGCTGATTTCACCCTTTTAACACTCAAATAAGTATCATGTTTGATTAGAATTGATTGCAGACGCCTTGTTTTCTTTAGCAGATTGCCTGATGGCCAGCCTGTTTGCTTTTTGTGTTTCAGTGAGTGCTGAGTTTTCAAGCCAGGTTCAGTCACTTTTTCATCTCAAATGCCACTGGCACTTACTACTTTGCTCATTAAAGAATAACAGACAATGAGGGTGTTACACTGAACAATACAAAACTAATTTCATTGATTGGCTTAATCAATGCGGAGGCAGGGTGATAAATGAAACCATCTAAATCAACCATTATCAACATGATAAATGATAAACTTCATCCCTCTCCTTTTCAAGCAGCAGTGAAATTTTGTTTGATCATCATTTTGTTGCGATTATTGTCTTATGTTGTACATATTGTACACTTTTTCATTGTATGCTTGAAATAAAAAAATAAAAAAATAATTAAAAAATGTTATGCTAATGTTATGCTTAATGTAATTAAGAAATGTTAAACAATCCTTTGATGTTCAGGACCAGTGAAGGCAAAGATGGATTGAAATGGCATGTCAGGAGCTTGACTTTGAATCTTGTTTTTATTAGATCTTGGGTCAAGTAGAACCAAGCGCGGATATAACGCTGTGTGCCGCCCCTCGGTCACAACACACACTTAATACTCACCAATCCAGGCACCAATGTCATTACTCAGAACCTTGCGTGTGAATTATGACTGTGTGCCTATGGGACAGCCAGACCCCAATCATCTTATATAATGTCTTGTATCATATGACCCATACTCTCAGAGGGAGCACTTTAATTTCATTGCTTTCCCAATCATTACTCTCAAGGACAGTGCAAAAGGAGCCTCTGGCTGATAGCAACCAAGAAGAGACAAGACGCCAAGAGCCTTTGTAAAGCTGGCATATCGTGTGAAAAATACTCTCAGGTTGCAAAGCGAGCAGGGTGGAAGAATTGTGGTTCGTGTCTGTCTGCACTGCAATTCATTTTCTAAATCTACATTTTTTTTCTTGTTTTCCAGTGAAAAATATCTACACATACATTAAAAAAATAACTTTACCTGGGAAACAAAACTGCATCAAAATACTGCTTTTTAGAGAATATCTTAAAATTAAATGTACTTAGCCTATTTTATTTATTTTGTTTGTATCTTTAGGATATAACTAACAAAATATAAGTTGGCAATAGGGTAAAAAATAAGTTTTTAAATTTATTTTTTTGAACACCACTGTAATAATTGCTTCAAGTACATTGATATCTTTTTAAGTATAGTTCACATAAAACTGAAAATTCTGTCATTAATTACTATTATCATGTCGTTCAAACACTTAAGACTTTCATTCATCTTCAGAACACAAATGGAGATCTTTTTGATGAAATCTGAGAGCTTTCTGTCCCACAGATAACAGCTACGCAACTACCACTTTGACAAAAGATCTTCATTTGTGTTTTGAAGATAAACGAAAGTCTAAAGGGTTTGAAACGACACAAGGTTGGATAATCAATGACAGAACTTTCATTTTTGGATAAACTGTCCCTTTAAGGCTGTTTTGAAGTTTATTCTGGAAAATAAGACCGACAACAGATTAAGAAATTTGTGAATACACTCACCTGAAAATAAAGTCTTTGTCTTTGTGGCGACATCCAAAAAAGAGCCATGTCTCTCCAAAAGTTGCTTCCTGGTTCGTCTCATGTTCTTTCTCTCTGTCAGGTCAAAACAGTATTGCAAAATTGAATATGATGTCACTATAAAATTAAGTGTTAAAACTAACAGAAGCACTATTATAAAATAGCCTCTATTTAAAATGACTTGGTTTTTTGATGATATCTATAGAGCTGGATGGCCAAAATAATGCCAATTAAGGAAGTCAAGATGACCTAAACATTACCAAATCAATACTAAAATAAATAAAGCAGTAGAAGCCTTTCTGTAGGTTTAATAATACCGAGTGCAGACTCAATTCCATAACCACCGGCTGTCTGACTGACAGGCGGCTGCTCTCTAATGCTCACATGCATATGTATGTGTTTATGCCTCTCTGTAATATGTGCAAATGGTCAAATGTTCTTATTTAAATAAAATGCATCTCGGTGAGTTATGAATGTGAATAAGTAAATATAAACAGTTGGAGGGGGGGGATTGTTCGGCCTAATATTAAACAGTGATAAATTTTATCAAGTTTCTTTGATGAATAGACAATTAAATGACAATCAATCAAACGACAGTAAAGACGTTCAGAAGATTTCTATTTCAAATAAATGCTGTTATTTTAATAATATATAAAACAAATTAATAATGGCAAAGACCCACATTTATTCAAGTTCATCTAAAAAAAAAATGACATGTTTATTATTCATAGACAGTAAGAATGTTTTAGAAATGAATGAAGGACAAGGAAATGCTGCTGATAATCTCATAATGGTAAAATATTAGTTGATTAATTAACCTGACTGCTCACTTATTACAAAATTAAAGTGGCAATCTGTATCTTTTTTTGTTTAAAAAATGATCCAAAATACATATTTGAGAATACATAACCAGCCAGTGTTCATAACTATCTGCTTTCCGTAGTTCGATTCGAAACGGTAAGCTTGTAATAATGTTTTTAATTCCAATGGTACTGGTGGATTTCTGCGGGAAATTCGAGCATGTCTTTGCTTGTGAGCATAAAGGAGTCTCGGCTAGTAGGCTATATTGAGTCATTATGTCACATCTGTACACATAAAGAAGAGTCTCGGCTAGTAGTCTATATTGAGTCATTATGTCACATCTGTACACATAAAGAAGAGTCTCGGCTAGTAGGCTATATTGAGTCATTATGTCACATCTGTACACATAAAGGAGGAGTCTCGGTTAGTAGGCTATATTGAGTCATTACGTCACATCTGTACACAAAGAAGAGTCTCGGCTAGTAGGCTATATTGAGTCATTATGTCACATCTGTACACATAAAGAAGAGTCTCGGCTAGTAGTCTATATTGAGTCATTATGTCACATCTGTACACATAAAGAAGAGTCTCGGCTAGTAGGCTATATTGAGTCATTACGTCACATCTGTACATATAAAGAAGAGTCTTGACTAGTAGGCTACAGTATATTGAGTCATTATGTCACATCTGTACACATAAAGGAGGAGTCTCGGTTAGTAGGCTATATTGAGTCATTACGTCACATCTGTACACAAAGAAGAGTCTCGGCTAGTAGGCTATATTGAGTCATTATGTCACATCTGTACATATAAAGAAGAGTCTCGGCTAGTAGGCTATATTGAGTCATTATGTCACATCTGTACACATAAAGGAGAGTCTCGGTTAGTAGGCTATATTGAGTCATTACCTCACATCTGTACACAAAGGAGTTTTGGCTAATCGGCTATATTGAGTCATTACGTCACATCTGTACATATAAAGAAGAGTCTTGACTAGTAGGCTATATTGAGTTATTACGTCACATCTGTACACAAAGGAGTTTTGGCTAATCGGCTATATTGAGTCATTACGTCACATCTGTACATATAAAGAAGAGTCTTGACTAGTAGGCTATATTGAGTTATTACGTCACATCTGTACACAAAGGAGTTTTGGCTAATCGGCTATATTGAGTCATTACGTCACATCTGTACATATAAAGAAGAGTCTTGACTAGTAGGCTACAGTATATTGAGTCATTATGTCACATCTGTACACATAAAGGAGGAGTCTCGGTTAGTAGGCTATATTGAGTCATTACGTCACATCTGTACACATAAAGGAGTCTCGGCTAGTAGGCTATATTGAGTCATTATGTCACATCTGTACATATAAAGAAGAGTCTCGGCTAGTAGGCTATATTGAGTCATTATGTCACATCTGTACACATAAAGGAGGAGTCTCGGTTAGTAGGCTATATTGAGTCATTACCTCACATCTGTACACAAAGGAGTTTTGGCTAATCGGCTATATTGAGTCATTACGTCACATCTGTACATATAAAGAAGAGTCTTGACTAGTAGGCTATATTGAGTTATTACGTCACATCTGTACACAAAGGAGTTTTGGCTAATCGGCTATATTGAGTCATTACGTCACATCTGTACATATAAAGAAGAGTCTTGACTAGTAGGCTATATTGAGTTATTACGTCACATCTGTACACAAAGGAGTTTTGGCTAATCGGCTATATTGAGTCATTACGTCACATCTGTACATATAAAGAAGAGTCTTGACTAGTAGGCTACAGTATATTGAGTCATTATGTCACATCTGTACACATAAAGGAGGAGTCTCGGTTAGTAGGCTATATTGAGTCATTACGTCACATCTGTACACATGAAGTAGTAGTCTTGGCTCTCGGTGAAATTTCCGGTGAAAATTATTATGTTGATCATACTTCCAAAAAGAATAATCTGTGATTCTAAATGCCAGTATCCTCACCGGCGCGGTGACTGACAGCCTCAAAGTCTCCTCAAACATTGTGTTCATCCCCGCGGTGTCATACCAAAGTACAACTCACGTAGATTTAATAATTCTACAAATGACTGCAATTTCAGATTTCAAACAGAGATGGCGGCAAAGAGAACTGCGGACTGCAGCTTTAATAATCTTCTGTATTTTTTAAATGTTCCAATTCATAGTTTCATGATGATGAAACCATAAAGTAGCATGTGGAGTTTAAATACTCTTTTAACTGCGGCCTTACCACAAAAACACAAAGTCACTCTTTGTAGAGAGAGGATTTTGATATTTATCTGGGTGGGTTCTTTTGAGCAAGTCCTCCAAAAGTTCTGGCTGTGTTCCCAGAATTCCCAACACTAAGGTGACATACAGGTAACCAGGCATTATCTGTACACTGCACCTGCTAAAGGTTGACAGACTTCTCCAAAGAGATAAAAGAGAAGACGCACAAAAACAAACAGTCTTCGGGCCCTGAAAAAAAAAGCACACTTGTCTACTCCACTGCGTCTTTACTCCAACTTGATTATAGAGGAAGAAGAGATCTGTTAGAGATGCATTACTCAGGCCAGAAGCAAACTCCAGTGTCTACTCCTTCACCCAACCTAAATAAAGCATTTAGAAATAGGTCTGAAACTTTCAGAGGTATTAAAAGAAGTGGAATGTTGAAACACCCAAAGGACTTTCAGGGTGAGATGCCCTTCATCATGCTGATATCACTCAAAACACTGCAGTGAGCCGAGTTTCAGACACTAAGCCCTCCCCATCTGCTGAATGTACAGTTTAATTGCGATTAGATTACTAATGAGCCACTGTGTGGATGAGATGACCACAGGACAACAAAACAGAGCTTCTCTTCAAACATCTACAATCTGTTCTTTTTCATTTTGTGTCCTTGCATCAGTGACCCATCACATGGAATGAACAACTGGCAAGCAAAGCAACACACTCCCTTTCAAGTCGTGCTGTCAGACAGTTGTTATTGTGATGCATCTACATTTAATTAAGTGGCATGTTGAGCAACGGGCAGTCAATAGAATACTAATGGTTTGTTTACTGACTGATGTTAATGAAATAAAATATGCATCTTTTTATACTCCAGGTATATGGATGTTTTAGAAGTTGTGTAACATCAATAAACAAAATGATGCCTATAAATTAGTTGGAAATAAATCGTGTACCTTGAAGCAAGTCAGCTGTACTTGGTTGGCAGCCATCTTGGTAGGCACACTAGTACTTCTTACTTGAATACTGAAAGACCAAATTATACCTCGCATAATTGTACCAATTGTGACTTTATGTCTAACAATTGCAAAAACTCTTTAAAAATGCAAATTTAAAAATCACGACTCTATACCTCACAACTGCGGTCATTTCTCAAAATTGTGATTTTATACCTCAAAATTGTGACTCACAACTGCGATTAGGGCTGTCAAGATACCTTGATTAAAATCAATTTTTATTACAATTTACCTGTGCCGATTAACAGGAAAAATACTGAAAGTGGTGCATGCATTCCACAGACGAGAATCCATTAACCGCATAACTAGACCATTTCTAAAGCTGCACAATGTATTAAAAACATTTAAAAATCATAATGTAGCACTGCGATTCATTAAATATATATGCACTATATTTATTTACATGTGTGTGTAGGTTACATACGTCTAAGAGCGGCCTCGTTCACAGTAACTGTTATCATTTACATGTGTGGAGCACGTCTCAAACTCCATCTCTGTTGAGAGTTTGGTTGGCTTATAACGTCCATATGGGAACACAACGTATGCTATTTGATCAGATTTGTAAGGTAAATCATTTATAAACCTACGCCAACACAGAGTACATCAAAAATTCTAAATATTCAAAACTATTCATCACAATTTCAAAATAAGTTTAAAGCCTCACTCTACTTTTGCATTTTTTTGATGTCCATATATTTTTGTTCAAGAAATTACAATGGCTGTAGCATTTCTACACAAAGAAGTGGCCAAATATTAAATGTTTGGCCAATATTAAACAAGGATTTGAGATGTAGAGTGCAACAACAACACTCACAATGCACTGGTACCCTCTGCAGGCATTTGCTATAATACATAATTTAATTATTTATATTATGAATAGTACACTATGTATTTTAACAGTGTTGTTCAATAAAACCATATGAGAACTTGCTTTTGATACTTTATTTTAATCAATTATTATTGCCTCATTGTTATTATTTTAAGGTGATTGTTTTGCTTAGTTGATTATTTTGACAATTAATTGTAAAAAAA